TGAGTCAATTTTCTTGAATACGACTTGGCACAATGCAATGGCACTACCTCTTTCGAAAGTTGGAAATCGTGTCCATCTTTCATGTTCCTGTCAAAAGTTATTCAAAAAATACCCACTAATCTACTTTTTTAAAATGACTATTAGTTTTCATCAAACTAGGAGAATAGTTGCATATTTGACTCAATTTTAATAAGCGACAGAATTCTTCGTATGTATATAATAGCTCTAGACAAAAAAAGGAAAGCCTTTTCTATTCTTTTTGGCTAGTTAGTCAAAACATTTATGACTTTATTATGCTTTAAAGTATCTGTGTTCGGTAGGACTTTGTGAGCAGCTATATACTACTAGGTCGTCTCTAGTGATGAACTGGCAAGAATCTTATCAGGTCTGTGTGAGACATCCATAGTATCTGTGTGACAAACAGCTAGATCGAGAATAAGCTCTTTCAACTAGTATCATTGAAGTACCACTGTAATCGATTAGACCAAGGTATTATAACTTTTTCTTGAAAGAAGAAGATTCACGATAACTTCAGTGTAGCAAGATATAAAAGTGAAAGACGTTTCTCATTCCCTATAAAGTTCTTGTTTTGGGGTAATAGTGGTTACAAAAAAATTAGAACGATGCTGGTTGCATGCCTTACAAACTTCACGATACCAAGTATTCTTACTTACGAATTATCTTTCTTTCTCCCATGTCAGATATCGGTGGCTATGCTTGGGATTATAATTATTTCTTTGATACAAATCATACAGTATATTCACAATGGCGCGGTTGGCAATGGGTACGTACTCAATTACTTTTGGCTTTACCTCATTTAATCATGGATCATCGTTACGGGTCCCAATATGACGGTCCATGGTCTTGGGTGACTTTGAATGGTTATACATCAGCACTACTCGCTGATGAAAATCCAGAAACATATCCGATTCTTTATCCTTCTTTACATACTGATAAAATTGCAGCGAATTTCATGCTCCCAGGTAATTTTGAATTACGTTTAGAACATTTTGCATCGATGGAAAGTATTCCGGGTTTCATCGGACATCAATCAGAACGTTTTTCAGCCGATGGTGGTTTACCATGGCAAGATCACGATATAAGAGATTTCGATCTAATGGGTTTTCCTTATTCATTACTAGCGAACGTGGCTTCGTCTGGGTGTAATCTCATTCATACCATGATAGGAGCAAGAGATCTTCAAGAATACTATCTATTACCAGAACGAACGTTACAATTATGGACATATTGGTTACAATGGACTGATAAACATCTAGAAGAAATTCGAAATTCTATCCCATTCTCGAACGAACATAATTGGTCATTGATGAAACTAAATGGTATCGATGGTTTTCTTTTCTTATTCAATCCGAATTATATTCAAGAGCATCGAATGATTCGACTCGATGGTCAATTGAATATCAAATCATCAACCAGACGAGGCTATTGGTTATTAAGTGAAATATATCCGGAACAAAAATATCTGCAACTGATTGAATATAATCAAACACTTGATTTTCTATTGGATGGTCAAAGTGCTACCGTATTCGAATTGAGTTTTATCTCAACTGTCTCCAAACCAATTGTGGTCGGGGTTAGTGGAACAGCATTTGTTGCGAATAAAAACATTTTGATGATCAATGGAGTCTATGGTGAAGCCGGTACACAAACAATCCATCCAATTTTTGTCATTATGCCAGATGAACAAATGATTGAAACCGTTGTATTGAATGGAAAAGAGAAAATTTTCCAACAAGTAAAAGATTTGATCATTTTGATCGATGCTCTGTCGTTTCCTGGTCAATATTTACCTCGTTCCGCACAAATCATAAATAATTCAATCATTGTCAGTGATCTATTATTACAACAATTTATCGAACGTCAACAAGAATACCCGATTCCTTGGACTGATGATGAATTGAATGAAGTAGCATGGTTAGGACCACATCGTTTATTACTCTTCATATGTATTATCAATCCAGATGATCGATGGAATGTTACAGCTCAAATCAATAATATCACTGTAGCCGTACATAAAGGATATAATACTCGTGATACTCATAATAGAGATCGATTTATGGGTTTTTATCTTGATCTAACAAACATTGTGGAAAAACCGAATATCGAATATTCTTTGTCATTAGAAATGCCAACATTGGATCCAGGACTATTTCAAGGACTATTTCTAGAGAATATAGAACGTATCTTGGTTGAAGCATAGATTTTTCTTCCTTGACGCTACTTTTTACTCATGTGAGTTATATATAGTTGATTCGAATAAACATTTTCACTTAATCAGAATTAATCATCTTAGTGCATCCCATGAAAAGCATTTTCAGGCATTTTTTTTGTGACCGTTTTACATCATTATAATTATGTATATTATCAAGCATTTTAATACCATTTTACCATTTTGTTCCCTGCCTGGGACACCCACACCCACACCCCACACTCACACCCACACCCAAAACTTCAAACTTTAATTTAATGCTATTTAGGGTGTGGGATGTGGGGTGTGGGTGTGTGAGTGTGTGAGTGTGCGTCTTTTCTTCTATCACACCCACGCACACTCACGCCCACACCCCACATATAATAAATGTGTTTCATTTGAATCAAGGTAATTTCGAGGATTTATGGGTGACTGTGGGTGTATAAGAATAGAGGGTCGAACCCACATTCTACACCCACGCTCGCACATTCCCATCCATAAACTCATACCCTATATTGTTGTGTAATATATTAAAATTTTAAAATTCATCGTACGTTGCACAGTGGTTTCGACGTAGCATTAGTGAGATCCTGGTCAGAATGAATAAAACACGCGAACGGCGCTCGAATTACATTTCTTTTCATTTGTTATGTAATCCTTTGACAGGCAATGTTTTTTTTCACTAGGACATCATAGCTGCCAAATTTGGAGAAGAATGAGAATCAATAGCGATGTTGATGACAACTAGCGCCTTTCTTTGATAACATTCGTTTCATGTATTTTTGTTTGAATGAGCACTAATGGATGAATTCGACCGGGGACTCGTAGAGAAAAATAAATGAAAGAATATTGTGGTTCTATATACTCTTGGCAAAAAAAGAACGGCTCGCAGTAATATGATTATGTGCTCTAGATTCCTACTTGAAACATCTCGCGGAATGTATTGATTGATTCCTAAGTGCACTAGTGTGAATGAAGGATCGAGGACTTATTTTAATTATCGAGAAGAACAATTTCGGACTAGGACAAATATGTTATTCTCTACTATATAATGGGTCGTTTGTTATTTAAGAACAGATATAGGAATAGAAATATTTGAATAGTATCCTACTGTTTTTCAATTTTATTCAAAAATAAAAATGTTACGAATAAGTTTGTTTATGTAAGTTAGTTAATATAACCTTCAATCGTTCGAGAAGCTGATGAATGTCTCCAGTTCGTCGATTCCATAAAGCAGGTTCTGTCTGATAATATTGATCACGTTCTTTCTTATAGTAGTCTAGGGCTTCAGCGAAAAGAGAACATAATGTCATCTTTTCATCGCTAAAAACTTCTATCTTGTCGTTCAGAGTCAAGTCCTTGACGTCACTTCCATAAATGAAAATTCGACGAATGGACTCATGGTTAAAAAAGTTTTCCAGCTGTTCAATAGAACCTGCCGAACAAACTAAAATATTGTGATAAGGTATCCGCATTTCGAGGATTGCACGTATTTGATCAATCGTCGTACAGATAACCACATTCGGGAGCTCATTGAGACCTACATACGGAGTTGTTTTAAAAAGTCCGAAAAAAATAAATTGGATATCTTTCGTTGTCATAGTTCGATTCTAGGGTGAAGAATAGATAAACATTGATGAGATTTATTCCATAAAAATGACTTGCTTTCTTTCCATTTCGAAAACGTTATTAATGTTTGTTTAGTTTCTCGCCTCATGCAGAACAATGTAAAGCTTTTTTTGTTAAAATGCTGCCGTTCGACTCGAAATGTGCGTTATATGTTGATAATGGAGATTTTTCTCATTGATTAATCGTGACGAGAAAAACGTCAACTCTACCCGATTGTACATCATGCATATTTATGATGGCAAGAGAAAACGAGAAGTAGCAAGAGAAAAAAATCAAATAAAGCAATTCAGTTTTTCAATAGAAAAAGAGAAAAAGAATAAAAAGAAATTAAAAACAAGTGCATTTTGTTGAAAGATGAAAAAACTAACAGAAGAGAAAAGAAACATCTTTATCGGAGCACTCTCGTACGAAAGATAAGCATTAAGATCAACAGGAGAAAATTATCTAAACGATTTTAAAAATATTTGACGATTCATCATGCATCAGTCTACATTTGTCGTTTTAATCTATGGCAATTAATCAGCACTTCTGTACTACGATACGATTTAAATTTATTTCTTTTATATTTCGATGCATTTTTCGAATTATTTATATCTTTTTTAATCAATAATGATCCAAATGTGCGAATCAAATTGATGCATCTCACAACCCATGTAAAAAAAAATTAGGGGTAAAATCAGATTAAAATCATACACCTTTTAATCGATTTTTAATCAAAAATAATCAAAAAAATCAAAATTTCATACATAATTTTGATTAATTCTGATTAATTTCGATTATAATCGATTCAAATTTGTTGAGAAAAATCGATTTTAATTGATTTTTGTTCATGTTGCATAAAAAAATCTTCAGCTGATTTTCATCGATTTTCATCAATTAAAATCGATTTTTCTCATCAAATTTTAATCGATTATAATCGAAATTAATCAGAATTAATCAAAATTATGTACGAAATTTTGATTTTTTTGATTATTTTTGATTAAAAATCGATTAAAAGGTGTATGATTTTAATCGATTTTTAATCATTTTTTAATCGATTTTAATCTGATTTTACCCCTAATTTTTTTTACATGGGAAATTCTCCATGTGGATAAATGTAGTTTTCGCTTGAATTTATGTTTTTGAAATCGCTAAAGGGTGATGGCATTCTCGGTCAGATTTTGTAGCTCTTCACGCATTCAACATAATTATATGTTTAAATAAATTCTTGAAAATGCACCGAATCAGTCACAAATGTTCAATTATACAGTTTTCATCTTGTTTAGTATTGATCATTACTATCAAGAAAAAAGTGACTATGATGGCTTGCGAATGAGTTTATGATTAATCTCTTACAGTACATTAACTTCGTCGATGGTCTGTCAACATTCTCCATTTCGTGTACATTTCTTCAATTCGTCCAAATGAGTAGTGAATTGTTGCTGGTATACTAATCGATCATTTTCAGTGGAAACATCAGTCGATTTTTCTTGATTATTCTGGTATTCAGAGGCCATATTAATTGATATTATTAGTGTTACTTGATATTCCTGAAACAGAGAATAAAAGATGTAAAGTATGTCGCTTCGATCATGACTGATGTATATATATGTATATGCAAAACAAATATTTACTCATATCACCCTGTGTAAAACTTGTCTTGTATAAAAATCTTTACTTCATTATGAGTAATACTGCTGTAAGAAGAATTTATATTGAAGAAAAGTATGATACTTACACAAATTACTCAGCCTATGTTTGTATAAGATGACTCAGGTGAAATGGAAAAATTGAAATACAAAACAAATGTATTTCGAGAAATTTCTTCAGTTGTCTTATGAAACTTTCTGTATGAGGTTGACAATCTCCAGAACAAACACCAATTATTAACACTATGTACAAGATTGAGTAATATCTATGTTTCGAAAAATCTATCTTCAGATTTCATTAGCAAAGGATCACTCGAATTCATCAATAGAATGAGTTTATGTAATACTTGGTCAAACAATGATTCGTCAGAGAATAGGATGGGGATTGAGAATATGGGAGTTTCTCTTGATAGAAGTGAGAAACAATCCGAAAATTTATCATACCAAAACAGATTTGCACAAATTAATCCGCTTTCGAAATAACCAGAAGACGTATGATTGATTTTATATAATACTTTACAAATCTCTATCGCATTCTTTGTCGGTATATTTTATGTGATGAATGTATTTCCTTCATGGAGAAAGAAGATTTGATATTAGAATGATTTTCAATATAAAGTCTGTTGAAATGGAATGCTTTCACAATACTATTGCAATATTTTACGTTAATCCATTGCACTTCAGCCAAATACTTATACAGCGCTATCGAATCATCTTGATCGATGCATAATTGAAATTTTCAATTAGGTTTAGTACTTTACGTGACTAATAATCGAATTAATCGACTCTTGGATTCACGATTATATTATTATATGTTATGATGAAATCTTTTTATACTTATTTTTTGCTGATTGTCTTGTACAAAGGCAAAGACACAACAGATTTTCTTCCATTATGAGAAATATAAGCGAGTAGGGACTCTTGAAAAAATTTCGTATTGATTCATTGCATTGAATGACTTTCTTTTTATTCGTAATTTACCTGTGCAATTATTTTTGCACGAAGGACGTACAATTATTTTGTAGAATAGAATATATACGAGAATCGACAACCAAATTGTGCACAGAGCTTTGTTATGATTCATAGATCATAGTCCCATGAATAAAATCTTCATGTCTTCAGTATCTGTTAAGATTTTGAGTAAAACTATGAAAGAAATATCTTTGATATTTGTAGCATTTGTATTTCAAGGTGAAAAAGAAATTCTTAATAGTAATCGGAAGAAGCCGAGGAGCGCAAGTGATATGTGTGATTTCTTAAAATACGAAAATCGATTGTGCGGATGATTAATGAAGTATTCTCCTACATATGAGGTGAGCAAATCTTAACACTCCGAAATAGTAATGTCAGAATATACTTGTGCCTCAATTGAAAATTGAGACAGAGAAGTCATAAGAAATCAGGCCAATTGGTAAAGAAAGACAGGGTAGATTATTTTGTGGTAAGGGAACGTATATTCTTTTTTAAACTATTTTCATTTTCTTGATCGAAGTAGGTACAAAAAGATGAATAGCAAAAACTTTTCATCAGAATCGGTGTGACAGTGGCTGTTCCTATAGTCTTGTTTTTCAAATTTTGAAACTGAGTAAAACTTAGTTATGAAGGCTTTTGCGGACAGATTCTGTGATTAAACAAGGTTTCCATAGTAAATGCTATTAGAACTCGTATTCAAGTTAAGTTTCAAAAGAATTTGAGGACATAAAAAAGCTTCATTGCATCATAACATATTCATCAAACGATGCACATTGAATAACCATGCATTCATGAAACGATGAAAACAATCAAAAACAAACTTATCTTCTTCAGCTTAAAATCATAAAAAATCAGTTTGTTTTTATTGATTCAAAGTATGATTGCAAAACTACAAATAGGTAAAAGAACAAGAACCGTTCATTCGGATTTTGTTCATTATTCAATAATGTCAGCAATTGTCATTGATTGAAACTATTTGATGAATTCCTGTGATATTTGCGATTCAAGAATCATATTTGAATTCAGTTGTTGTAATGTTTGCACTTCGACAGAAGCTTGATGGATATTACCTCTCTTGATTTCTTTTTTTAATGACTTCATATGGAGAGAAAACTTTTGCTGTGATTGATTCGGAGTTTGAATTGTAGAAGTTATTGAATCATTATCATTAGCAATAGTCGAATTACACGATGCCATTTCAATAAATGAACGATGAGACTTCACTATATGAATACGAGGGTTGATACTGACTATGTCAATGCATCATGCATCTATATTGTGCCTCTGAATGAATACCGTGATACTTGGAAAAAAAGCTTGGGGTTTGAAAAGAGAAATTTGTGTATCGAACGGCGCAATTTTGTATAATGACAGGTTACCATTTTTTCATTATAAAAAACAGTTATTCTATGGACTTAATAGTATTAGGTATGCATGCACGATCGTTTTGATTTCGTGTATCAATATGAAGGTTATAAGTGGTTTATTTTTATACCTGATACGAAGCGCTTGCACAAATGCGACCTCGTACTTCAGGGAGTGGTGTTAGGTATGGGTGTGGGTGTGGGTATTTTTTTCACTGATACCCAGTCCCAGACCCACACTCACCCACGCCCACACCCTAAGGTTCAAAATATCTTCTGCAGTTCCTAATATTCTTGACTTTTAACACTTGAAACTGGACACAAGGTATTGAATAGTCTCATAATTAACTGAAAACTTGTAATTTAGTTGAGGAATTACTAAAAACACTTCACAATTCTTACACTTATCAGCGACGCTCATTATCTAACAATGTGAACGTCAATTGTGATGAATTCATGTTTGGTTTTAACTTCCTTTCTTGTGTTTCTTTTTGTTGTAATGACATATATATTAATCATGTTAATTTACTGGCACAGTACTATTGAAAAATGCTTGTTGCATACGAAGTAGGTATGAAAAATAGCTGCCCAATAAAGAATACTATAGCACATGAGAAGTGGCAGTATAGTTGTGTTTGTCAAGAATCCGTAAAAATATGGTGTGAAATGTGGAGGGTGTGGGTGGGGGTGGGTGGGGTGTGGGTGTGGGTGTGGGGTGTGGGTGTGGGTATTGATATCTTTCACCCACACCCCATTTTATGTTTACAAAGGATTCTGTCATGACGTGTAGATTGTAAAACATGACAATGCTATGGTAACGAATTACATTATCAATCATTTGTCATACTGGATTTTGTGTTATACGTAGCAGTAAATTGATATACTTTATCGTATGTATGAAAGATAAATATTTTTCGGTAATAAAATCTAATTAATTGATCCATTCACAAGAAAATATTTTCGCTGAAACACTTCATACAGACATCAAAATCGATTTAAAAACCATTCTTTTGCTGTAACCTTAATTCAATTTTCAGAGTTATTTTACTTCATATGTACAAATTTTGACTACATAGGACACAAACTATTAGTTATTTTATGAGTTTATTATGTTTTTAGTTAAGAACAAATTTGACTGTAAATGTTAAATATATTGAAAACTAATCACTTTTGAACGAAAACAAAGACTGAACAAATGTACAACTGTTATATGTATGAATATCGATTGATGCATATTAATTTCACTTCATGAATGATCAATCACTTTCGAGTCATTCATTATCTAAAATTTAATATCGTTAAAAAAAGAAATTATTTATGATTTTTGTGTAGAAAAAAAAACAGACTTGAATTATATGAATTCCAATAAAATCATAAAGAACTCTCCATTTGTTCAATATGGCATATCAGTTTTGCATTTCCCACATATAAATTCAAGTATAGTAAATATTAATCATTAAATTCAAGAGAAAAAGTAAATATTTCTATCTTATATGATTTATCATAGTAAGACTCATGCATCGAAAGAATAAAAATGAACCATGAAAATTTGTATTAAAACGCAAGAAAAAGGACATCGTTTAAGTCTCTTACTTTTTTCTTCTTTTTTCGTCCTGTGAATTATTGCATACATCATTCATTTTTTAAGAGCTGTCAGTGGTTTGAATATCATCGAAATTTCCACTCTTTGTTTTAAATATAGATATCGCTCATTTTCGATCATCAATGAGAAATTCATGCTTTTCTATTCTACAGAAAGAATCTTACTTTATGTTAATTAAGGTAAAAATAATACAAATCATCCACATGATGATTGTTTAAAGCGTTTGCCTATTATTTGAATTCATCCGTTAGTTATAAATATTGAAGGATTTCTTCTTCTAATTTGTAGAAATAACCTATCATTCAATCCATATATCATGTAAATGACAAACAGAAGAAAAACATTTTTGCAAGATATGATTAATTAAACACAAGTTAAAAGGTCTTCTTGAGCTAATGAATCTAACATAATAAGAAAAGTCTATTGACATGGAAGAGTTTGAAATCATCGAAAACATTCAATAAACTATCAACATATTTGTATATGAATAAACTTGATACGAAAGCTGTCATTTTTAAACATAAGTATTACGTGTTATATTGATTTCATACAATGAAAATCCACATTTTTTACTATTACTTTCGAAAAAAGTCTTTATTTAAGAGAGTTTTCGTCAGCAAATTCATTTTATGGCCGAAATTAAAATATACCTTTTTATATCAATCGATTCTTCATATCAAAATGAAGTTGTGAATAAATTTTCAGACTTTTGTCACTTGATTTGATGAAATTATAGACGTTGAAATATGAGGGACTCTAATAAATGAAAAAAAAGAAAAATTCTCTACATTGTTTTGCTTCTATTTCCGTCATTTTTCAAATTCGAATCTTGATTTTAAAAAAATTAACTTTTCTAAAGAGCTGCACTTTTATTCCACTAACTTTTTTCGTTTGTATGCCGTTTTTCAATATGATAACTGATTGGGGTATAATTTTCATACAGTGCATCTTATAGAGAATTCTGCGCTCTTCAAAACCACCATAAAGGTTTTTAAAAAAAAAGTTCCAGAAAAGGCGAGGAAGCATTACTCTCGAGATATAATTTTATTTTTTTGACTGGTATTGAGTACATATTGAGTTATGAATGAATGAATATGAATCTTCTCATTCGTATCCTCTTGGTAACAAAACATCATAGAATCTTAAATAAATTTATCGTACTCAATATCTCAATACGTAGAATAAAATAAGTAGGATATAATTATCATGCGTTCTAATGCAAAAAAAAGGCAACAACATATTTATGAACATATTATTGAATGTTTCAATGACGGCTTTTGATTTTCCAATTACTCGCTGATGATCATTGTTTTTGTAATTCTATAACAAAATAATTTTAAGATATTTTTCATATAAACATGATAATTAAAAAATCTCCTCTCATTTTTAGGACTTTATGTGGCTAACTCATCATTCCAAACTGTTGGTAGTGTAGATTTCTTGTTGATCATTTCGCTGTTTCGAAAACTTGACGCTCGTCAATGAATGACTAATTATAATCAAAAAAAATAACTTTTTAATCAAAACTGATAAGAAAAAACGATTTTTTTTAACTAGTACCTTCTTGTGAATTTATTGTGTATGAATAATGGTAACTACTAGGTTAAATACTTGTGGAAGTTCAAACTTAATATATAAAAAACTCTTTACTTTTGAAATGTTCTTAATATTTAAATGTAGCTTCTAAGCTGTAGAGTCTCTGGTAGTTTAATTCTTTTTCTGTCATAACTCAATGCATGATTGACTTTATTCGTTATTTTTTGGAATATTAATGATGCTTTAATAAATCATCTCTATTCAAGATAACTTCTTAGCAAATAAACAAAATTTTTATTTTCTTTTTCTAGTTTTAATGAGTAAAAGTAAATTAAAAGTTTTTATTTTTATAGTTGTAATCAATTTTTCAATTAAAACAAAAGAAAATATATGAAGTATATGTGCATTAATGTTGATTGTGCACATTGATCAGTAATAATTAGTTCAAGTTAAATATTTTTTTAAAAACTTAACTATCAAACATAATAAAAATGGTATTATCTTATTTTCAGTTAGTTTTTTGTTGTATGAGGACGTTTTAATTGTTCTTCTATAGTTGTTTGTTCTAATAATTCTCGAACACAAGATGAATTATTCAATTTTAATGGATTTTTTATGTATAATTTTTCCATTTTAATTTGATTTTTTCTTGTTTGTGTCATCATTTTCTTTACTAATTCACGATGTTGTGCTATTAATGCTAATTTATGTTTATGTTTCATTTGTAATAATGTACGTTGATCAATATTTCCCTTTGATTCACGTTGATCAACAATATCAACTCGATGTGGAACACGAGATAAACGTGGTAAACGTTCATGAAGAAGTTCACCAACTCGACGAGCAAATAAAGTTATTTCATCACGAGCTTCAGATGGATTTCGAAGAAGATAATCAAGTCGATTTTCATAAAATGTTTCAATAACAGCATCATTAGATTGAATTGGTAATGATGAATTTGGATGAATATCTCTAGAATAATAGGCAATAAAAAAAAAAAGAAGAAATCATTGAAATGTTAGTTGCTGATTTGTATTCGTATTTCTTAGTAAAAAAAAAAATTCCAACTACGAAATCTATTAATAATTAGATTTTTCTAAGTCTGAAAGTAAACGAATTATGAAACTTCTAGAATTCGAATAAAATTTGTTTAACATACGTTAGTTTTTGTGTTGAAGGTGTTATTGGATCATCAATAAATACAATTTTAATATCACGTGCTGGATCACGTGAAAGAAAATTTTTTTCTAAATCAACAAAAGTAAATGTTCGTGATATTTTTCTCTGATATTCTTGTCTAATTTTTTCATTATGATCTTGAAGTTTTTTATAATATATTTTTAAAAATTCTTCAAATTTATTTTTACGTAATGATTCACGATAATCATGATTAAATTTAATTTGATCTAGATAATTCTCTAAAAGATTTGCTGATATAAGAGCTTGTTCTAATTGAACAAATTTATATGAACGAGAATGAGACTTTTTCGTTGAACTTGATGTAGTAGTTTGTGAAAAATGTGATCCTGGTCGAATAGGTATTGATGTATCAATAGTTAAAATAGGTAGTGATAGTATTGGTAATATATTTTCTTGTTTTTCATATTCTGTTGTTTCATCTATATTAGCTTCATCTTCTTCATCAGGTATTGAAAGAAGTTCAGCATCTGGTACAAACAAACGATAATGAGGAGTCTTTATCTTAATATATGTATTTATTAGATACGATTTGAAAATTTGATGATTAATCTTACTTCATCATGTTTGTTTGTTGATAATGTTATCATATGTTCGTTGTTACTATTTTGCATATTCATTGTCATTTATGTTTGTAGAGTTGTCATGAAATTGGGGAACAGAGAAAGAAAAGAGAAAAGAAATTAATATTTTTTTTTTTTTGTACTTTTTTTATTCTCGAAGAAATCCGTGCATCAATAAATACATGGTTTCAATAGAACATAATTAAAAAAAAATATATATGCAAATAAATTTTTCATTCTCTTTCGTCTTTTTTTTTCAATAGAAACATTCTTAGTTCATTTGATCGGGTGCATAAATGACAATCGTGATTTAATATGAATAAAATCTGATAATAATAGATATATATATTCGTATATAGCATGATTTTATTATTTAGTAAAGTTCATCTAGACATATTCATGTGTCTTAATTGGTAGAGCTTTAGAAGAAAGAATCATTTCCACTTGACCGAATGCCAAACACATTTGTCGACTAGTCAAAATACTTGACATCGATCAGTCTTTAGATAGCAATATGGCAGGCAATGATACTCTCAACAATGCATTAATGAAAGAACATGCAATCAGGATGGTCATTTATTTTCCTATATGTTTTATTCTGATGAATTCGTTGTATAATAAAGTCAATATTTGAAGCTTCGAGTTAGAGAAGCAAGTATCCATTCTCAATTCGGAATCATTATACTATACATTAGCAAAGTGAAAGATATTACGCAAGAAGAGAAAATAAGAGCAAACAATTCATACATGTAAAGAAATTCGAACATCAAGAAAAAATACCGTTGATTATAGCGAATTCGATGCGATTCACACAATAGCTTTCTTTCCAAGAGAATACTTCAAGTTTGTTCTTTATTTTATTTCGTTATTTATGACTATATTTACTTCTTATCGGGCTTGTTCTTATCACTTTTTCTATGAAGGAAAAGGTCAAGTAACCACTTTTGATGATGACAATACTACCTAAAAACAACGAAAAAGTGCAGTATCAATTTCTACATTATACAGATTATTGTTTATACCTAACAATATGATGGCTCAACATCATCAGAATAGTTTTATTCAAAATTTTATTGTCATGTGGCTTTGTTCGAAGACAACCAAAGTCAATAAATAGATCAAAGAATTATTCTGTTTTACAGATTCAGTTTGGACATTTGATGATATTGATTTGCTTAAGGATGTTGATGATCAAAAAATATTTCCTATATTCTATATGATAATTTTGCTGAATATCTTCTATCACTTATTCATGATATATATCAACTTGATTCTATTTTTATTTTTTGTCATAATAAACATAAAAAATGCAATTAATAATGGGAAAAAATTCAAAATATTTTTAATGATTTCTCATCTATCTGTTGTCAACTACAACAAAACATTTCAATTGTATGAAAATAATATCATCACGATTACTATTCTTCCACAATTTTCTATTGTGAATCAAAATGAAATCGATTCTTCATTTATGTATACACAATTACTAAAAGAAATTCTTATTGAAATGAAATATGATGTAACAGCAAAAAAACAATTTATTGATTATATTCATAATTTCTATGCTAATAACGAAATACAATTAAATACCATCAATGAATTTCAACATACATATGAACATTATTCACCTATTTGGTGGTATACGAAAGAATTGTTTATCTATTCAATACTTAATCGAGTTTTAAGAACACAAGATATTGATATAATAATGAAAATAGGATTTTTTCTTCAAGATTTTCATCAACAAATCAAACAAATACATTCAATGACTAAACATTCAAGTAAAATGATTGTATATCGTGGACAACATATGATAAAATATCGATTTTGAAAAAAATAAAACAAAATCAAAGTGGTCTTCTTTCATTTAATAATTTCTTATCAACAAGTACTGAAAAATCAATTTCACTAATATTTGCTAATAGTTCTCGCAGTGATTCGAATTTAGTTCAAATTCTATTTGAAATTGAAATTAATACAAGAACATCTTCTGTTTCATTTGCTTCATTAGATCATATAAGTTTTTATGGCAATAATGAAAAAGAAATTTTCTTTTCTATGCATACTATATTTCGTATTGATGAAATAAATCAAACTAATAATAGATTTTGGAACGTAAAATTAACAATGACTAATGATAATGATGAACAATTGAAATGTTTAACTAAATATATACGAAATGAAATTGGTGGAGAAACAGAATATCATCGATTAGATTGACTGATGATTCAACTTTATGAATTTGATAAAGCTGAAAAAATATCCAACAATGATTCAAAAGCATATGCTCAAATATGTAATCAACTTGGAACTATTTATGAAAACAAAGGTGATCGAATAAAAGCTATTCAGTATTATGAACAAGCAATTGAATTATATCAAAAAAACCTCTTCAATCTTTTATTCTGATCTAGTCAAAACTTATAGTAATATCGCTTTGGTCTATAAATCAATGAACAATTATGACATTGCACTTACTTATTATGAAAAAGCACGATCTCACAATTCTGATCAAGTGGCGATCGATACCAGTATAGCGAATGTCTATCATTTAATGGGAGATTTCTCTAAAGCTCTTTCTTATTATCAAATAGCAATAGAAATTCGAAAAAAAAAATCTTCCATTAAATCATCGTAGTATAGGCATTAGTTACAATAATATGGATGCTACACATCATTCGATGGGAGAATATCAAATAGTACTTACACATTATCAAATATCACTTGAAATTTATCGAAAATTACTTCCATCAGATCATCCTAGATTTGATGAAACTTATAATAATATAGGTTTTGTATATGATGCAATGGATGATTATTCAACTGCATTTATATATTATAGACAAGCTCTCAATATTCAAAAGAAACGTCTTTCATTGAATCATAATCAATTAGCATCAACATATAATAATATGGGTTTTATTTATGATTCAATGGGAGAATATCAAACTGCACTTTCTTACTATCAAGAAGCTTTAATTATTCAACAAAAAACACTTCCTAATATACATTCTGATCTAGCAATAACTTATAAAAATATTAGTGGAATACATAGTTCATTAAAAGATGATTCTATTGCACGTTCATTCTATCAAAAAGCATTACAAATTGAAACCATAGCTCTAACATCTAATCATTCTCAATTAAGTAATATGTATAATAATATTGGTACAATTTGTCAATCGATGAATAATTGTACAACGGCATTGTCATATTATTTTAAAGCACTTAAAATTCAACAGGAAACTCTTCCAACAAATCATCCTAGTCTTACTATGGTTTATAATAATATAGGAATTATGTATGATATCTTAGGAACTTATTTAATGACACTTTCATACTATGACAAAGTTCTTCAGATTCGACAAAAACCTATTCCATCTAATCATTCTGATTTAGCTTTAATTCACATTAATATTGTTATAATACATTATCGATTAAAAGATTACGTGGCAACTATATCACATTTTCACAAAGGACTTGAAATTCAACAAGTCATTCTTTCACCAACACATTTCGTACTAGCTGATATTTATGATAAAATTGATATGATGTATTATTTACTAAAAGATTATTTAAATGCAAACGTACATTATCAAAAAGCACTTGAGGTTCGACAAATATCCCTTCCATTGGATCGTCTTGCATTGACAGTTAATCATTATAATCTAGCTAAAACATATGAACATCTTAATCAATATATAGAAGCTATTGATCATGCAAAACAGGCTGTTAATATAGCATGGTTCATATTTGGGTGTAAACATTCAGAAGTGAAAGATAATCAAGACTATTTAGATAGACTTCTTCAATAGTTGTAGTTTCTATTTTTACTCAAATAAAAGTAGAGAATATAGAGTTAAGATATGTTGAAGTTTATTTACTCATGCTGAGACAATAAAATAACTCATGAGAAAATATTACCAAGTATTCGTATTGTTTTGAGCTGATAATTTGCTTATAAATAGACCTTAATGAACTATGAAAAGCTTCTAAATGGTTTCACCTATGAATCTTCTATATAGGAGACTGTATTGGTGTATAATATGAAGAAAATTTTTTCAAACAAAATCATCTAGTCGATCAATTAAAATAAAGACGCAAAAAATTTCTTTTCTATTACACCCATGTATCTTTTTGCGTATGACTATTTGAATTAAACCATCTGGTACATTGTTTTTGTTACACAAAAGAAAGAAACATTATTACACATTTAACCTTGATTATTATTGCTAAAGCAGATGTTCCATCATATTAACGAAAAGTACAAACTTTTTTTTTTGCTCGGGTTATTGAATGAAAATACTATAAAAGTAGAATCATCTTAACTATTTACTTTATGATCATAACTAAACATGGCGAAATTCTTATCTCTCATTTTAGTAAGTAAATATTCTTTTTTAAACTATTCTTCTAAAACTATTGATTATATTATTTAGATTTATGCGACTATTTGCATTTCATTAGCTCATCAAAATCGTAGAGAATCATGGTTTTACGGTTTTATGCGGCCATTCCTTACTCCAACAAGTATTTGTGCGAATAGTACAACACAAGCAGCATATCTTGCTAAAACTATAACTCTTATCAATAATTTTCAATTAAATTCAACATATAATTCTGTTTTACAAATTGAATCACCAAATTTTGTTGCATATCTAAAAGATCCTACTAATCAAGCATTATTATATACTAATTGCTCATCTTTTATTAATGGTGTAAAAGTAGCAAAGTTAGCAGACGAAACAGCTGCACGTACAAGACAACACATTGCTCAAGATATTCATCAACAATTTGAACAAATTCCACATAATGTAACTGGTAGTAACGGACCTAATGACTTGGATAGCGATGAACATGATCGACATCATTGATTTTACCTTTTACTTTGTCCATTTTAATGAAGATAAATAAAATAAAATTGAACAAGAAAAAAAATTGTTTTTATTTTCAATGAATTTTTTTTTTTTATCAATCAGAAAAATGTTGTATTTTCTATTACCAATAAATACCAAGAGTACCACGATCGACATAGTAATATTGATGTACACTACCACTAATTGGACTCCAAGTTTTCAAATCGAATCTTCCAGAGCCAGATTCGCTACCGTCAATTTTATATACAGTGATAGCTTGTCGATTACGATACCAATCAAGACGAGAACCACTAACACATGTTTCTGGCTTGTTCACAGCTCCATTTTGACTCAAGAAAAATGCAATACCAGAGCCGAAAACTTTACTTGTACCATCAGATTCTATACATACAGCTGTTGATTCATCAACGCCAATGCCACGACCTACGACTCCATAATCTTGATTCATACGTGCTAGAAATGTAATGAGACGACCACGTCGATCCGGATTATTAAAATGAGTGTCGGTGATAACATTGGATAGATAAGGTTGAGAAAGAAAATCATTGTAACCTAAAGTAACATATCGATTGTAAGGATCGGTAAGAGCTTCGCTGGAAGTTACTGTGCCATAAAGTGCTGAAAAATAAGTTCCACCAAGAATAGCACATCCTGCTGATGTACCTCCAATTGGAACTTGTTTTATATTTCGTAGATAATTAAGAGCAGCTTCTACTTTAGTACCTTTCCAATATTTAACATAATTAGCCTGATCACCACCAGCAATAAATACTGCTTCAGCTCCACGAATTGTTGTTTCAACTTGACGATCATTAGCTAAAGTAGTTGAATTAATTAGAAGAGTTTCAACTGAATTAACTGAGCCTAAATCGTATATATAACTATTGTATGCATTAGTACCACTTGCTCTTATTACTACAAAATCACCACCACCCGATTTATTGATCATCCATTGCATAGCTGCATCAACATCAGGACCACCACCAACAAGAACAGTACCTCCAGATGTTGGCCGTGTTATATCAGCACTATCACCAATAAGTCCTAACGAAGCAGGACTTAATGTTTCACAAACGAACGATAATGTGCTAAGTAAAACACCATATGCAATCAATTTGATGCAATCCATGTAAAGATATTCTTATAAATGAAATAAAATGAGAAAAAACAACATAGCTTGATAAAAATAAAAAAAAGAAAGATTAGTATAAGCGAAAATATATTATTAGAAATATATCTGATAACGTTATTATTGATTTAAGAATCAATGAGATTGAAGACACATTATATTCAATTGCTATTCATTAAGAAAGGCGTGGAATAATAGAACCAATATATATTTAAGATATATACAGATCAGGGTCAAAATAAAATAAATATTATTGTACTTTATTCTGTAGTTTTGATTGCAGATTCGCGAATCATGGTGTGACATCGCTTTTTTCGACTGCAAAGTGCCGCGAGAAATATTGATTTCTCTTTCTACTGATAATAATGCTTTTCGTTTTAAAAATATTACTTCATCTACAAAAAATAAGTGACTTATATTAATTTTTTGTACTTTCACATAGTCTATACATTTTTTATTTAATATCATTAAAATGAAATAATGATTGTGACAGACATCTAGGACGAAGAATGCTGAATCTGCATACATTCGTAAACAATTTTATGTGTCGTACTCGATCGTATTTATTTCAGTTCGTATAGCTCATTATTATAATTGTATAATTCCCTGATCATATACAGAACAATGGGATCATACATAGAGAAACATGAAGCAAAATTGAAATCGTATATAATCTCATTCTAGGAAAATCATCGTATTCCCCGAATCAATGAAAAATGAACTATAAAAATAATTTCCTCGATTCAATGCGACACAACCCAGGAAGAAGTGAAACGCTGAAAATGCCGTTTAAACTGTCATAATCACCCGTTCTGTTAGGAAATGGTGATAAACGGCAAGAAAAAACGTGATCATCACTTTTCTTGCCGTTTTTACGTCTAGTCAGCGTTTCCAAGCGTTATTCACATTAAATAGTCTCTGAAACGGTTAGATAAATCATTTTCTTCTTCGTAAAAGATAGTGAGAAATATTTACGATCATCTTTTCCAACGAAAACAGCTGTAAATGCTCAAAGTAAATTAATCTTTTTTTGGGACTGGTTCCCATAATTATTTATATTTTCGTGAATTTGTATTTTTTATTGTTTCACAGTACGCGTGAAAGACATTTAGTCCGTTTGGAGGTTCCATTTATCTTTTGATCTGCTGAATTACTTCAAAAAAGTATTCGCTGTAGATTTAATTATGTGAAAAAGAGTTCCTTTGATTAAAGTAAGAATCCGCATAACATTGACATCATGTGAATCAAAATCATGTGTTCGTGCGAACATTAGAATATCAAGAAAATACAGGTTGATTTTATTGATTTACAGTCTCAATTTTCACATTGAAATCCTAATTTTTTGATTATGTTCAAAGCTCGAAACGTACGATAAATTATAAGTTCCTAATATTCTCAAACATAAAATTGCTGAATTAGAGTTTTCATCACAAATGATCAACTCATCAGTATATGAGTTAATTGAAACTCGTTTTATGACAAGCAATACAACATTATTAATTATGAGCTCCATAATCCAATTAGAAACTCTAGTCAAGTCAAAAGAGAGTAATATTTTCAGTTAATATATATTCGACAAATGTATGTGGTATAAACAGAACGGATCTCATATGCTTAGTAATTGATTGTTAGTCTTAATCAAATTCGAGAGATAGGAAAGCAAGGGAAGAAAAGAAAAATTTAAGTCAAGAAGTAAAATAAAAAGTCAGAGAAGTGGAAGGAAAAAAGAATAAAGTTAGAGAAGGACAAAAGAGAAAATAGATTCGTCCAGCACATTCATTCGATGAAGATTGCTCAATAAGTAAACATCACTTCTGCGAGCGATGTGAATGCACACAAAGATAAGATACATGAATGATATCTGAATTCAGTCTAAAATACTATTCAGATTACGAAGAAATTCACATATTTACTGTATACGAATTGTGAATAAGGATTCTCATTGATCGTTGGTCTAGCTTAGAAAACATGAGCAAAAAGATTCAGATAACTCTAATAGAAGAAGTCTTCAGAATTGAACGATGTAGAGGATTTAGTTTCACCTTACGTTCTGCGTTTATTTTTGCTTTTTCTTAGGATAGTATTTGTGGAAAACTGTCTGTACATTCCATCGAGATAGTTGACAAAATACGATATTCGTAGAAAAAATATATAGTATAGAACTTATTTGTCATTTGGTAGCACCACATTCCATAATAAAATCATTAGTGAAACTAAGCTATTTAACATTTTTTAAACTGATTTATTAAGATCAATCAGTGTGACGTTTTGTTCTAACTAAGAACATTATCAAACACAAATAAATAGACAAGAAGAATATATATAAGAGTAAAATAATGTCATCGTTTTTTATTCTATTGTTTTAAGCATTTCAATATACGGGAGGAGTAAAATTGATCCGTCTGCATTAGAATGTTTAAAGTAATAGAATAGAAAAACGAAGACATTATTTTACTCTTATATATATTCTTCGTCTGTCTATTTATTTGTGTTTGATAATGTTCTTAGTTAGAACGAAACGTCACACTGATTGATCTTAATAAATCAGTTGAAAAAAATGTTAAATAGCTTAGTTTCATTAATGATTTCATTTTAGAGCTTGTTATTTTACTGAGTTCGTCGTCGATTGAAACTCTTACGCGAAGAAACTTTAATTTTTTAACTCTTATACCATAAAAAGAATATAATGCTGAGTATATATTCCGTTTTCAGTACAAATATTAAAAGAACAACTAGATGATAAATATCCGTAAATCATAAAGATTACAGTAATCAAATAAAAAACTTAGCTGCTCTATTAACTTTTGTAGCAATAAATTATTTTTTATCTACGACAGACGCCTGTTAAAGAATGAGAAAAAAAAATAGTCTCAACAATGAATAAATTTTAGAAGTACATCAATAGTGTTGCTGTTCAATATTTTCTTTTGATAAAATATACCAAAAAATTGACATCGTTTTATCTATGGTAGTTTTCCCCTAGAATTTTTCGTTTGTCGTATCATTTCATTAATTCTTCTTAAAAATCTAAGTTTCATTATCACATACATATCTGATACTAATAAACTAATTTAGATTCTTATTTCATTATTCGTCGAGATTATCATAAATCACAACTTCGTAACTAATTATATATTTCTCCATAGATATTAGAATAAACTAGACTTGAGAATTCATAACGAAAACTTGAGAAGATTTCGACAAAATATTTATCAGATGTAAGACAAACGCATCATCCTTGAGCGATCGACAAATTTCTAATTACCTACGAAGAGTATAGAAAAAAACTCTAAAACAACGATCGATGTGTCAGAAGAAAGAGTGTAGTCAGGTTTTTGTAATATCTAAACGCATTCTAGTGAGTAGGTCTCTTTTTTTTTCGAAAAAGCAGAAGTTAAATTTTCAACAAGTTAAAATAATTATTTAAAGAAATGAAGGTTCATGCATCTTTAAAACATAAGGCATGAGTAGAAGTCTTTTGAACAAATATCAAAACAAAAAGAAAAGTTCGTAGAAAAGACTTCTACTCATGTCTTATGTTATACAGATGCCGAACTTTCATTTCTTTAAATAAATATTTTAACGTGTTAAAGATTTAACTTATGCTTTTTCGAAAACAAAATGAGACCGTCTCATTGGAATGTATTGAGATATTGAGAAAAAGTACGAACGTGTATTGTCCATCATCAAATTAATAAAATTAGATGAATGGTCAAGTTACAAGTAAGACGAAGATGATTCTTGAATATTAAACCTTTTTTTCGAGTAAAGGATCGTTTACGACAGATGAAATAATAAAAAATTATCGTTTTAACGTCAACGAATCACTATTTATGACATTTACAATTCGAAGTTTAAACGACAAGAGCATAATATTACTTTATGACATACAAAATTGTTTTTTGTGATGAACGCGTAATTTGGTCAATATATCATCGTTTAAACGATATGACATTAAACAGCGTTTCCTCAACTAACTGGGCTGTCGAACACGAAATATATAAAATAAGATAATTGAGATCAACTCATATTAATACTAAGATGGATATGAACTGATACTTACATTAAAATACCAATATTTGGTATATGATACACAATAATAAAACTCAATCAGTGTAAGCTGTTTTTTGTTCTATAGACTGGATTGATTCATGTATTTTTCAACGACCAACTATCATTCCATGTTATTAGTTTGTAAAAAAAAATTTATACTTAAGGATACCCAAAAGTAGTGGCGAAGGTACCTTATTTTCTTGTAGAAGGCTTGAGAAAATTTTCTTTCTTTATGAGGTGATAGAGAAAATGAAGCTCTAGTTTTCTATGCTATTTCATCTCTATTCAACTGTTATCATAATAGTAAAATGTTGATAAGAACTCTTTTTGTGTAAAACTTCACGAATGGGTGAGGCAGATTCAATATTTTAATCAACTAATACGTTGTATTGAAAACCAAAGTATACCACAAGATGCAGCGTGAAAAGCTCTACAATTTACATACAACAACTTATTTTACAGTTGCACTTTTTGTTTTCAAAATAAACAAAATTTTGAGCCACCAATTTTCGGCAGTTCGAAAATGATATATTTTGGTACAAGATGAATTGATTTTTTCTTATTTCATCCTTTTGTCACCTGATATCTTTTATTTAACAACAACAAAATGCATCACAAGATGCAGCGTGAAAAATTCTACAATCCACAAAGTAAAGCTTATTTTAATTGTGTACTTCTCGCCAAAAACGAACAAAATTCTGGACGACTAGTTTTCGATTTTCTGAAAAAATCATGCGAAGAGAAATTCCTTTTTTTCTTACTTCATATATAAAATAAACTGTTCATTACAAATTATAGAGCTTTTCCCGCTGCGTCTTGTGGTATATTTTGTTTATTAATACAACGTATTAAATGATTGGATATTGAGATGGAACGCGTGTTAATCTGCATCAGGCGCTAGTGAAATTCTACACGAAAAGAGTTCTGATCGACATTGTACTATTATG